CATACATTTTTACAAACGACAAACAGAACAGTCGAGTCTAGCACATAACAGTAGATGCCTTGGTAGAAGGCTACGTTTAGAAGAAAGGACCATAATGCTACTCTTATGATTCCTTAATATATACATCATAGGATATATATATATATATATATACCAATAGGATCCGACAGGCAATAGGATGTTTGTTCTCCGCTTCATTTCATGTTCCTTGTTTGGTTGTGGGCTTGGAACGAATTCACCCAATCTATTTTCTATTCGATTATATATATATATATATATATATATATATATGTATATATATATATATATATATATATATGCTTAGTATACATTAAGTCATCATAAGGGTACCATGTATGGGTCAGGTCATAGGACATAGAGTCAAAGCACAGTTTTTCTAGTACAAAACATACTTTCCAAATCAGAACTTTTGGTATACAAAACTATAAACTTGACCAGTAAAGGGTTTAATCCATTTTATTAAACTAGTGAAACTTAAAGGACCTTAGATGATTAACTCTATAATACCTTAGTTTATACATCATGGTTATATATAAAATTAATACCCAATAGGTAGTTGGATGTGTGCTTTCCGCCTTACTTCCTGTTCCTTGTTTGGTTGTGGGCGTAGGGCAGATTCACCCAGTTAACTTTCTATCCGATATTAGATTATATATATCCAGTATAAACTAAGCTATTATAAAAGTAGTCACTGTGGTCACCATTTTATTATAAGAAATATGGGTTTTCTTAAAGAATCTTTTCATTAAATATAAAGGAACCATTACAATTAAATCCATGAGTAACAAGTGAATACATCAGGGTTATATACAACAAGGATCTAACAACCAATGGGATGTGTGCTATCCGCCTTAAATTCTGTTCCTCGTTTGGTTGTGAGCTTAGGGCAGATGCGCACAATCGATTGTTTGTTTACTCTGAGTCTTGTATAACTTGTATCCACTTCGTACTCATAGAAAGGGTTGTAGTGTCATTTTTACTTAACTTCCATTAAAGTAGGAAATATAGGATTTTCTAGAGGAACATGCGAACTTTTCTAAACAGAACCTACAACTTACAACATTTCACAACATTTTACAACTTACATACATCACTAAAATCTTATGAACTCACCAGCTTAATTGCTGATCAACTCTTTCAAATAACTTGTATTCTCATGAGCCTATTAGACAGGTACTCGTGCTGGGAATTCAGAAGATGGAGCGTTATAGGTTCAAGTCTTGTTTTGTTATTTGTTGATGAATTCTATGTTTTGTGAACACACACATTGTAAACACTTTCTTTCTAAATGAAATGGTTGTTCATGACTTGCTTACTGTATACATATCTTGTGATACTAAACATGACGTCCTCCACCCCCGAACGATTCCGCCGTTCCGGTTTTGGGGTGTGACATTGTCATTCAAAACTCTCCTTTAATAGACTAAGGAGGTACATCGTACAAACTAAAGAGACATTCCTAGGACTGGTTAATAATCAGCTACTGACAACTGATTATCTAAAAGATACAAAAAGATAAGTCTTATGAAACGTTACATCATGAATAAGACAAGAAACAATAAATGTTCAAACACACAGACTGATCTCGGATCTTTACTCCACCTCGGACTGATCTTCACTTCAGACTCCATCTCTATTTTGGAAATTGCTGACTTCAGATCTTCATACTTGTGATTGCTAGGGTTCACTTTTCATGTTTTAACAATATCCCCCTAAATGAACTTAGCAATCTGGTCAGCTCAGTTGGCTTGTTCTTAGATGAACACATGAGCTTTGTACAACTAGTTTCAGACTTCAAGATACCATTGAATTTGACTGATGAATTTTGTCTTTACATGCTCTGGAGCTTCTAACTTTGCTGCATTTGAGATAAACTTCTGAAGAACTCTAGAGGGAACGAGATGCTTGTACAGGACTCAGAAGAAGTCCTTCTTTTTTGTCTTTTTTTTTCAAGTCGACGTATCTCAACACCAGTTCATCAATTGGCCCTTTTGCCAAGATTTCAGCTTCAGGCAGTTTGTAGTCTATCTTTTCCAAGAACTTTTTAGTTCCGAACAAATGAGCCAATTCGAATTCGCATTTGCAAAACTCAGCAACATAATCCTTCAAGTAATTCATTGCAACACGGTAAGCAGCAATGCTCATCTAATCATCTTGATGAGTTCGGAAGTGAGTTGCAATGGTCAGGATGTCGTTCGGATTAATTGAGGGGAAGTCAGCGTCCGTGATTGTGAGCTGTGTTGACTTGTTCTGATAGACATAGTAGCGATGCAACAGACAATCCAAATCAAACCAGATATCTTGGTGATTCTCTTCCGAGACCACACTTCTTTTTGGGGACGTGCGTTCAAGGAGTAGAAAGTCTTCGGTTGTTCTCTTTCGGTTCTGATGATCATTTGAGGATCATCTTCTGGGCGGAGAGAAGCAAATTTGATGTAGAACTTATCGTATGGAGAGATAGGAAGATCGAGTTGGTCCGGATCCTAGGTTGGTAGATCATAATACATGAATGACACTATGTCCAAGTCGTGGATTATTCCTTCACGACAGAGAGGGGACAGCCCTAGCATTGGGTTGGGGTTATCTTTGAGAGCTTGGATCTGAATGCTTTCTTCCAGGGCTTGATCTATTTGAGCTTGGGACCAACCTTCAGACTTTTTGGTGGTCGGTTCGGATCTGTGAAATTCCGAGGTAGACCTTTTGCCTTTGTCTGGTTTGTTGAGAACTGAAATCACATACTGCATGTTCTCATCTATGGTAACCTCTGGAGGAGAAGGAATAAGGGGCTCTTCCGGAATGTTGTCAGGTTTCCGAAGTGGAGAACCTTCATCGATTGGAGCTATTCTTGGTGAGGGAATTGGAGGCATCATTGACTGGGTAGCTCGGAATGCATTGAACTTAGTCTTCGCCTTATCCATTTCACCACGTAAAAAAAATTTAGCATGTTGAATCCAATATTTGATTTTTTCTCCAAATTTCTCTCCAAACTTTGTTTTTGATAAAAGAGATAATAATAACAAATGGTAAGAAGTTTTTCTAAATTTCAAAGTGGATATATGACTTTCGAAAAACGTCTTATACCATTAAAAAAGTTCGAATTTTTTTACATGTGTTTGAAAATTTCGAACTCCTTTATATCGGTAAAAGCAAAATAAAAAATTGTGAAACTTACTTTCATTTCAAAAGGGTAAATAGCATAAACGACACTCAGTTTATACCAAAATTCTAATTTGACACTGTGTTTTTTTGTATCAAATTTGACATTGTGTTTTTCAATTTGTTACAATTCTGACCACTTGGCCGGTCAACCAGGTTACATGCTGACGTGGCATGATGACGTGGCATGCTGACATGATATGCTGACGTGTCAAAATTGAATTTTTTTCGACAAAAAACACTATGTTTTCACTTTTTTTCGATTTTGGCACTAAGTTTATTTTTTTTTAATTTTGACACTATGTTTTTTTGTTCCAAATCGAATATCATTTTTTCCAATTTTGTTCAATGTTGACAATTTTCTATTTGAAACCATATAAATATTTTTTTTAATACATTTAAACCGTATAAATACGTTTTTTCAATTAAAAACCATATTTTTGTATAAATACAAGGTTTTTTTTTACATTCAAACCATAATTTTATGTATAAATATGTATTAGTTATATAAAAACCATATTTTATATTACATACGCAACTTTAAAATGAGTTTGAAGGTTTGGAGGCGTGTAGTCGATCAAAACCCGGATGTCAAGTTTGCAACCCGTGAAATTTTTGCATCTTATTAGAAGCTTATGGTTAATTTGATTCTCATGATATAACTAATGCATATTTATACATTATGCTTTGAATAAAAAAAAAAAAAAAAAAAAAAAAAAAAAACCCTTGTATTTAAATAAAAATGTGGTTTTTAAACGAAAAAAATATATTTATACGGTTTAAAATGTAATAAAAAATATATTTATATGGTTTCAAATGTAAAATGGTCAAAATTGAACAAAATTTGATAAATGATGTTCGATTTGGAACAAAAAAACATAGTGTCAAAATTGAAAGAAAAAATTAAACTTAGTGTGAAAATCAAAAAAAAAATGAAAACTTAGTGTTTTTTGTGGAAAAAAAATTCAATTTTGACACGTCAGCATATCATGTCAGCATGCCACGTCATTAAAACCGACACATCATCATGTCATGTCAGCATGTAACCTGGTTAGGTTGACCGGTCAAATGGTCAGAATTATAACAAATTGGAAAACACAGTGTCAAATTTGAGACAAAAAAAACTCAGTGTCAAATTAGAATTTTGGTGTAAACCGAATGTTTTTATGCTATTTTCCCATTTCAAAATGCCAGAAACATATCGAAATAAGATTTTTTCTATTACAAATGTCAAATTTCAAACATCGAATTTATTTCTCAAATTTTGAAAATGTTGTCATTACTCATCGTCCTGATTCCAAATACCGTACTCTTTTGTCATTTTATATGACTTTATTATACAAATGGCTACAAAAAATTTACTTGATGTCCAAATACCGTACTCTTTAGTCTTTACTCTTTAGTCATTTAATGTTTTTTTGGTATTGAAAGTGAAAAAATAGTTCAGGGACGATTTTGTAGTTTACTAGAGTTGGTGGGTAGAATGTGAAAAAGTAATCAATTAACCTAAACTACACTACGCGATTCCTATATGTTTTTGTTTCTCCTTCACTTTATAACAAATGATACTTTATTGCCCTTTAATTTCTGTAAATCGCAATATTACCCAATCTAAATTTCAATTCACATAAAATTTGATATTTGACTAGCAAAACTAGCAAGAAAAAGTTTTTTTTAACATAAAAGGTAGACAAAAGTGAAACATTATTTTCAAAATATGGCAGATTAAAGGTCAAAGGTCAAAACTTTTCTACCATTTTTCGATCTTGACTTATATATATGTAATAAACCACTACTAATAACCAAAGTTTTATTAAAATCGAGCACTAAAAGTCTAAATCTGAAACCCAAAAAAAAAAAAAGTGATATTATTCACGTTCAGGATTTGATTCAGTGCAAACGACCCCTGCAATTCACAGCACCACATTTGCATTGACACCCTTTGCCAGGTGGCGCCTTGTTCATGTAATCAAAGCTCAATTCTTCACCTGTCGCTATCTGTAACAAAAACAAAAGTTCAGGGACTGTTTTGCAATTTTACTAAAGTTCAGGGACTGAATAAAGGAAAAAGTAAAATTCTTACATTTCGACTAGCATATAGACCGATATGTGACAATTCAGAATCCAGACTTTCGATAAGAACTTGATGGTTTTCAAGATTTGGAGAGCAGCTACAAAAAGAAACACGATCATGACAAAAGGGTTAAGATTTAGGGATTAGGGTTTATACAACAGTAAAAAAAAAAACGTTTTTTTACCTGTGATTTATGTAGCGTGAAACATTTCCAAATTTTGTGGCATCAATGGCGTAAGGGGCTTCTCCCTCAATTAATCGAATCATGTCATTAATGCGTGCATCAATTTCATATATAAATCCGCAACCTTCTCGATCATACCTAAATTTCCATAATTTTTATAAGAATCTTGAAATCTTGATGTTCAATATACAAATAAAAGATTAAATTCATTTAGAATTGAAAACCAAAAAGTCAACGTGAAGAAAGTCAAACCTATGACGCCTCTTCTTCGCTTCATGTTCATCTACAACCTCTCCAATATACTCGCAAATAAATGTTCCACGATCGATTGGTTCTCCAGCTCTTACCCCCCAACCCTGTGTGTTTAAAAAATTAAATTATTTAAATAGAAATTTTATAGATTTATTAAAAATAAAAATACGAAGTAAGTGAATTTTACCTTGTCTTCTGTTTTGAAGACCTCCAATTTCACTTTCACCCCATTTTGCAAAACTCGATTTTGACAGTTTTTATTGCAGCTGCAATTCTTGTTGCATTCGTATACTAGGTAACCCTCCTAAAATATATAAAAAAATAAATAAATTACAATTGGGAATATTTGCAAGAATAAATACATTATTAATTATCATGAATCAATAGAGATTCAAAATCTTTTTGTTTTAAAAAGGTTAAGCGTAATAAATTAATTACCTCCAATATGATTCGGCCTTGATCATCATAAGGAAACCTCCCTTTCATTGATTTTCCATTTATATCCTTTGCATCTTCATAATCATTATCAAAAAGATACACATGATCACACCCTTTTGGAGAACATGTCGAATGTGCACATCCACACCCCAATTGTAAACTCTGTAAAAGAAAATCCAAAATCCCAAATCCCAAATTAAAAAAATCAAGAATCTAATTTACAATCTTTTACAAAATCAATAACAAAAAAGTCAAACTTACCCTCAATCCAAAATCAAGAGACTTATCAAGCAAAGGCTTTGTAATGTAGGTAAAGTTTTCCCATGGTAAAAAAGTTTGACCATCATCACCATCAGCAGAATTATGAATTGACCCCAAAAGATGATCATCAACCACACACGCGATTTGAACCGATTCCATTCCGAAGCTTATATCATCACACAAAACAATTGCTTTTTCTGATTCCGGTCTCGAATGGCTGAAATTTATGATGTAATGAGACTCATCCATCGCCCATTCCCCTGTCACGGGATCCGGAACACGTGATTCCTTCGCTTCCGTCTTAGGACCCAAAACATCAGTCGGAATCGGAATCGGAATCGGTGATTCCGATTCCGTCTTTGGGAAATGATCGGAATCCGTGATTCCGTCACACCCTTTTGGACAAACAAACCGTTCTTGATGCCACTCAATCAAAACATTATGTTCACTACAAAGTTTTGCAGCCTTGAGATACAAACGTTCGGGTAAAACTCCATATTTCTTCTCCATTGATGCTTGAAAGCTTTTTCTACAACAAACGGATCGAGCCATGGATAAAATCTCAAGATTTCCCGGATAAAGTTTTGTTTTGTTGATCTTCGAGTAGAGTAATTTCGCGACATTTGCACATTCTGACTCTTGTAATCTTCCAAGAATCACCGATTCCGGTGATTGAGATTGGAATTGAGACCGGAATTGGAATTGTGTTTCCGATTCTATTATTTCTTGGAATGGTGCTTGAATGTGTTTCTTTCTTAGACCTTTTTTGAACCGAGGGCGATTTAGTCTTCCTGGTTTTAATTTGTTGGAAAAAAAGGGGACACCCCTTTTTGGGACACGGGTCCCACTAGGGTTTGAGTTTGAGTTTGACCCCATGTGAGCTGCTTGATGGTGTCTACCAAGATCAGGTAACAAATCAAACTTCAATCCACAAAACCTACATATATATTTCTGAAATCCACCTTGATTATTATTATTATGATGATCAGAAATTACGTTTTTGCCCTTGAAATTGGCGGGATGATTTGACACCACATGTGACCATAATTGGTCAGAATTCCCAAATCGGTTGCCACATGGGATACATTGGTAAAGCATGCATTGGTCAACAAACTGGACATGGTGTCTTTCAAGAACATGTCCTTCCAAAAGGGTATTTTCGGAAAAAGTATCGAAACATATTGCACACACGTATTGTTTGAACATCACCCGAGCTTCCTTTTTATGATTTTCAATGAAATGTTTCGCGAGCATTTGGTCATCAAGAAACTTCAAAGAGCAGATACTACACTTGATGTCACTTCCATCATCATTTTCAACGTGTGCTTCCAAAAGGGTATTTTCGGAATTTTCAGGAATTTTACCATCGAACCCGAAAAGACGAATGAGTCTTTCTTTTTCACTGCAAACTAATTTGAATAAAAAGTAACGGGTATTTTCGTCTTTTGAAGCTTCAGACATCACCCATTGAAGCTGGATTTCTTTAGGAACAGGGGATCTTAAAGACAAGACACTTTTAAAGAACCTGTAAAACAACTCACACGCTTGGTGTAAATGACGTTTTTGGGCATGTGATTCACAGCTTTTAAGAAGCTCAATAAACACTTCTTTTGAAACAATCCTACTTTTTCCATTTCTTGCCCTTTTGAGCCAATTTGGCAAGTGTTTCTCACAGTATAAAGTATGCTTTGTTGGACTTTCATTACACACAACTTCATTATCACCTATACATTTCATCCCTTCAAGATTTTCCTCATTCCGAAAATGACCCGAAACTACAATTTCTTGACAATTATTACCCCCCTCAAATAACAATACATCTTCCACCTTTCTTTTAATTGTTTTGTTTTCAGGTATGGGAGGTGAAATTACGATTACGTCCTTGTCCTTGTTGATTCGATGTTTTTTACAGAAAGAAGTCCCTGGGAGTGATCGATGCTTACATTTAGTACCTAAAACAGTTGTGCCTTCACACATTTGGGGCTCCAATTGGGGAGTGACATCTGTCCTTACATGATTGGTTGAAAAACGAGATGCTAAATGTACACAACAATAAACATCTCCATCATTCGCCCATCTAACACATCTTCTTCCTTTAGCTTCAATAAAAGCTGTACACTGTTTATTTCGATCATTAAACCGAGTTTCTTGATTCCCACTTTCAACTACAATCTCACCCCATTTATCATCCCTCACAGGCCCATTAAAGAATCTTGAATCGGTTTCAACGGGAAATGACGGATTTACCCCTTCGGGTTCTAACTGTGAAGCTCTACGGATTTCAAGTTTGGGGCGTTTTCGGGAAACTTGAGGACTTGTGTTTGAGAATCCATCATTTTGTTGTTCAGATTCTCCATTGTTGAATGAAGGATTTGAGATTGAAAACATTTTCATGATTTCTGGTTTTAAAGTTTTCCATTCGGTTACAATTTCGGGTGTGTTTGTAAGTGTTTGCACTTCGTTCCAATTTATAGCTTCCCCTAATTCCTGAATTTATGTCAAAGTATTTAAAAGTGGTGAACTTTATTGATATTTAAAGAAAGAATGTGATTGTGACATTGTGTAGTGTTTACCTCTTTTAGCAATTCGATAGATTCGGCTGTTTGAGCATTTTGACATTTTTGCACCCATGTTTCTTTAGAATGTTCCAACCAAAAAGAGTCTATGAACCTTTGTAATATCATCTGGGAAACAAATTTGTAATATTTATATATCAACTTTTTTATATTATATGTAAATACAATGTAAAGTTTAACTCTACTTATATGGAATACTACAAGAACTTGTTTAAGGGTATGCATGTGCATGAACTAATCCATGGAGTTCTCTTATGTATAATCTTCACATGTGTTTAATGTAACTTTAAAACTCAAATAAATCTCCCAAAGATTTTACCATTTTAATGCTAAGATTTTGTAACTTTTTCTTCATACACCAACTTCCATGAACATACATACATGCATTCATGCATACGTGTGTTTCCCTAGATGTGTTTTTGTGTGTATATATATCAAGATTACCATAATTCTCAAAGATAACACGTATACAAATAAAGAAACATCATTTTAAAAGCAAGAAACACTTACATTTTCAAGTTTAAGAAGCATATTTCCAAGATCCGAATAATCTTTACATCTAGAAGCTTCCAATGCAAAATCCTTCCACACTACCACACTACGAGCACTCTCCTTCAAACCCTAAAAGAATCCAACATAGCCCATTAAAGAACATTGAATAACAATGATAATAATTAGGTCAAATTGTGTAAAATATCAACTTACTTCATTCTTAATACCAATATAGCCAATGTACTCTACTTTCTAACCATAATAGCAACGTATTTACATTCCTTTATGGATAAAAAATAGGGATAATGACATAAAAGCCCTTAAGTTTTCAAGAAATATTCGGTTTTACCCTTTTGCGTATTTCTGGTTCATTAAAGCCGCAAGTTTACAACTTTCTTTTCATTTTTACCCTTTTTGCAAGTTTATAAGGTAAAACCGAACATTTCTCTCAAACATAAGGGCTTTAATGAACAAAAGGGTAAAATTGAACCCAAAATACGCAAAAGGGTAAAACCAAATATTTTTAGAAAGCTTAAGGGCTTTTATGACATTAACCCTAAAAAATAAAAGTACATTGTTGTTTCTTGAAATTTGGCCTAAGAATAAGAAGAAGAAGATGACAAAGACAAACCTCGGTTGTTAATTGTTCAATGGTGTTTATCAAGGTAACAGCAATCTTTTGCATGATAAATCTTCTTGCAACAATCAAATCTTTGACTATTTTGACTCCAATATTATGTGATCTATATGCAATTGGCTCAGGGAATTCATTAATGGGGCGAAGAAGCAAAACATCAGCCCATGAATAATTTCTTTTTCTTGGAAAAAATATAACAAGATATTGTTTCCTTTCATGAGTAGGTTTTGCTCTAATTGTTGATAATGGCCAATCCGATCTTGCACATCTTATCCCTGCTTGCCACTTCCCTCTCCACTATATTTTCAAAAAAAATAAATAAATAAAAAAACATAAATCGATAATCTTGATTGAAAACTATGCATTAAAAGGGTTGTTTCTTTTGTTTCCATTAAGTAATGATATCTGTTTGGATAAAGTGTTTGTATGCATAACGTCTGTTTCTTTTCTAGACCGAATAAACCATTTAAAAGAGAGACAAAATGACCATTTTACCCTTACATGTTCACAATATTCATCAATTTTTACAAAATGTTAATGGGATATTGACGTAAAAACCCTTATGTTTTTTCCAATTTTACCCTAACATCACTTTTTGATGCGTTAAAATCAGAACTTTGCAACTTTTCTTCTAATTTTTCCCTTGTTACATTCTAGGTTTACAGGTTATCATAAAATAGAAGTAGCAAGAAAACCCTTAAGTTTACAAATCTTTTACGTTTTTACCCTAACTATGTATTTTTTTTCCATATTATATGTATTCATGCAGAGAAAACGCATTGATACACGTAAAAAAATGTTTAAGTAAACATCGTGTTTATATTTTTTTTAAATGCTCTTTCTTTATATACGCTTTTTTTTGCTACTTATATGGTTTAAAATGTAAAAATACGTTTTAGAAGTAAAAATACATTTTATAGAAGGATAAATACATATTTAGAAGTATACATACATTTTTTAGACGTATAAATACATATTTTTACGTTTTTTTGAAGTATAAATACATTTTATAGAAGGATAAATATATATTTAGAAGTATAGATACATTTTTTAGACATAAATGCATATTTTTATGTTTTTTAGAAGTAAAAATACATTTTATAGAAGGATAAATACATATTTAGAAGTATAGACACATTTTTTAGACGTATAAATCCGTATTTTTTATGTTTTTTAGACGTATAATATGTACTTTAGACGTAAAAAAATGTATTTATACTTCTAAAAAACGTAAAAGTACGTATTTATACTTCTAAAAATGTATCTATACTTCTAAATATATATTTACACTTCTAACAAACGTATTTATACTTCTGAAAACATATTTTTACAAACACGTATAATATGTAAAAAGAACATACTTAGGGTAAAAATGTAAAAGATTCGTAAACTTAAGGATTTCATGTTACCCTGGAAACCTTTAATAATAGGTCAAGATTAGTGTCTTAATACATTAATCCAAGCTTTTTGGCTTAACTAATTAAGTCAAAAAGAAACAACTCATGGAATATATATATATATATATATATATATATATATATTGTATACCTTCACCCAAACTGCCATGGGTTGATCTTGTTCAAGCCATTTGGGCTCTGACTCACATTCCTGATTCCCACATGCCAATTCCAGACTATCAACTCCGGAATCATGAGTGTTGGAAGATAACTTTTGGTCATCATCAGATGCTTCTGTGATTCCGATTCCGATTCCAATTCCAATTCCAATTCCGGTTCCATCAGCTAGTTCATGTTTGACATTGTTTGACCCTCCATCATAAACAAAAGCTTTTTCAGAACCCTGATCTGGGCCATTACGTGGAAGCACTTGCATGATTTTAGATTCTGTTTTACCATATAAACCCCAGAATTAGAATTTAATGAACTGATAAAATGATAAATGAATCTAATTTAGCTAAAGTTAACACTCGTATGTAATGTAGAATCTTTGTTCTTCACAGTTGAGTTCAATTTTGCTAGTTTTTGTTTACAAAACAAGAACAAATAAACCCTAGAATTTGAATTTAAGTTAAATATGTGTATTGCCGTCGTTGGAAAAAAAAAAAAACCCAAATTTACAGGAACCAATTTTAGGTTTTTGGAACAATCTAACGGAAAATAGTGTAACGATTGAAATTACTACCCAATTCCAAGTATATACGTTGTCAAAACAATAAAATCGAAGAAACCCACAAATTAAAATACCCTAATCAGCATAATGTCGAACTAAATTCGAACAAAAACCCTAAAAAAAAAATAAACCCAAGATTCTGACACATCAATTGCATGTTTTGCTGTGACCTAGAAACAAAAAGTGGGTCCAGATCAAGAAATCCCCATCAATTGATTGACCTGACCCATCTACGAAACCCCGAATTGAATCACAAAATCATCGGTTAATAATCTTGAAAGTCGAAAAATCAACAGTTTCTTGAATCGAAGTCATACATACATTTGTGATTCACTTAGTTTTTTTTTCATTTGGGCACACTTAAAAATCTGTTCTTTTTTAGTCTAGGGTACAATATTATTTGGGGGAAAACGTCACCAAGAACATGTACATAACTACATGTAATAGATATATGAGTCTATGACAATATATATGTATATTTTGTATGTATGTATATAAATTGGGGAAGATATAGAAAAATGGTGGCCTTATGTAAATGTACCTTTTGCAGTCGGGGTGTGAAGATCACCTTTATGCCATTGTTGCGGGTGGATGTGGATTTGGTATTTTTGTGGTTAATTTGTTATAAAATATAATCCAAAAAAGATCTTTTTTTTTTTTAATTTTGATGAAGATGGGTATAAACTATAAACTAAAAAGTGGGCATGTACCAGGTCCAAAACGAACAAGAAGACCTGGATGTGTGTAGAGAGAGAAAGAGAGAAAGAAGGCGATGAGAGAGAAAACAAATGGTGGGTTTTGTGTGAGACTTTAAAAAAACAAAAAACAAAAAACCCTAAAATTATGATTTTTTTTCTATTTTTTATTATAAAAAAGGTTAAAAAAAATAGTGCTAGTGAACGTGTATCGTAACGGTGGTACAAGATTGGGAGGCAGACGGTGTGGTCGAGGTATGTGTGTGTGAGAGGGATTTATTTTTTATTAATTTGTTTGATTTTTTTTTTTTTTTTGCATATATTTGTAAAAAAAATAATTAATATTTAGATTATTTAGATAAAAGATCAATATAACATAATACTCGTGATCAATGTATTGTCTTTTCTAAACGTAAACACGTGTAGTTAGTTGTTTAAATCAACCTTGACCAAAGTTTTGAATGTTCAAAAGCATAAAGAGTACTATCCACCCATCTAACACACACAAGCATATGGATATGATATAATATCACATGGTTTGAAAACACATACCATAAAGAACAAGACTCGAATTTCTTCAAACATCGGATAAATCGTTTTTAGTAACGTACAGGTATGTACTATCAATAGATCTTTCTTTATGGTATTGTCACTATATGTTGTAAAAAGGCGAGCTACACGTTTAACACTTGTTTATATGTAAAAGGTTTAGTGTATATGTCTTTGTATATGTTTGTATAGGCTCTCGGCCTTATGAATTTATTCATGTATTCGGCCTATGGCCTTTTGTATTTCCATATATTACGTTCAATACATGATATCTCTTTATGGGAAAATATTAAGTGCAATACACAATATCTCTTCAGGGTGAAATGTTGAGCGTGTTATGGTATATTAGAGTCATAGACTCTTTATCTCCTAATTTCTCTCCCTACAATCTTTTTTTTTTCTCCCTCCTTCCTCGGGCTAAACCCTACAAAAAGTTCTTTTGTTCATCATGGATAATGATACCCTCAATAAGGATGTCACTGAAAACCATTCGGAATCACCAACATACGTACAGTGTCGGCCCAAGCCCAGGGCGAGATGGGCCACGACCCAGGGCAACAATTTCTAGTGGGGCATCAGTTTTTCAAAGCCTCTTATAGGTAGTATTGTATATTTGGGCCATATTAAGAAAACTAGTAGTCTAGTAAAGATCCATTCCCGTCTAAACGTCAAGGGGAGCCGATTCTTGCTTCTTGGAGACCTAATTAGCGGCTACTACAATCAATTTCGCATAATGAGTGGTGACTCTTCGATCGCCTAATAATTGAAGATGAAGAACACGAGGCGTCCCTTATGGAGAATGGAGATGGACGATTATAATTTAAAATTAAGATTTAGTCCTCCATAGCTGCATCGATCGCCTACTGTCTCATCCGCTTCACTGCTTCAGCGCTTCTCTTGCCCTCTCTCTCGATCACTTCTCCTATCTTCTTTCTTTCTTTCTAAATCCTATATTCTACTTCTTTCTTTCTATTGCTCTTAATCTGTTATTCTGTTGTGTTAAAGACTTAAAGTGAAGATTCAAAGGTGCGATACCGACATACCGTGATTGAATGAATTCGTCCTCCTAAGGTCCTAAATCCTAATCCAGTAAGCTTTTTCTAGTATTTCAAATCTCTTTATGTGCTGCGTTTTGAACTTCATAATCCCATATTCCCCTAATTCTTATTAGATGTGTTTTTATTGAATGATTTTTAGTGATTTATGTCCTTTTGGAGTTCAAGCAGCCAACAACTAAGTGATTTATTCCCTTTCTCGAGTTCCAACAGCCAAGTAGTAAGTTTTTCGATTCCTAACTCTAGTATTCTGATTAGATGCCTTTTAAATGAATGCTTATTGTTAGTTTTCTTCCACAGATTGTTTTCTATGACTTGAAATAGTATGGACTGAACTTTTGTGAAACCTTTCCAAAATTATGCATTTTTTTTTAATTTACATCAATAGTATATTAATGTTTCTAATGAAGCAATGTAAGTAAACACACTTCCTATAAATTTATAAGCTTATTGTAGTGTGAAGAAATGGTTGAAGTAAACAAGGCAAGACGATTGGATCATGAATCTCTTTTGAAGAAACGAAAGAGAATAAAGAATGTTCTTTAGCAAAGAAGCACGAGAATAAACTCTCGAGGAAGGAAAATGTTGCTAACAGGAAACATGAAGTTGATAACCAAAGAAGTCAAATAGTACCCCCAAAGAATATGAGGACCAAATGTAGTTAATTATTCATATTTATTGCCTTTTTATTTAATGTTCATATTTAATAATCTATGTACATGGATTTGATTTTAAATTCAGTAACTGAAGCTAATTTAGTTAAAACGTGAAGCAAGACTGGATGGCAGATTCAATTTGAACCCATAACCAATGATGTTGTTCATCCTTCGTATTCGTGGGTCGGTGCTTATATTACCAATAAATTAGCAATCTTGAGTACTGTATTTTGTTTTTTTATTGTTAACAATCATATAGTAATTAATGTAATTGCTTCAACAAATGTACAAATTGTTTAGGTGATTTTTGATAACTTTTTACATGTATTGATCTGAGTTTTAGTTAATTGATGAAATTTATAGCACTTTTGTTTTATAAATTTTGTAATATGTGTGTTGTGTGTTGGGTGACACGAACAAATGGGCATTATTATTAGACTCGCTCAGGGCAACGTGGACCAATGGATCGGCCCTGCATACGTACATATGTTCCCCTCACTCTTGACATAATTGAGTTGAATTACGATGTTTGGCCTATACTCTTCGATTTTTGTGTTCAAGACCATCTTGAAGAAGTTGTTCAAGTACCAACATCCAAATGGCAAAAGCTTGACTCCTTAGTTTATGGATATGCGGGACGATCAACAAGTCTCTACTTCAGATGATCCTCAAAAGGGAGTGGTTGCTCACATTGTTTGTTTAAGCCTTAAAACCACTTCCGCGAAAGCAAAGACACGTGTTCCATGCAACTAGATCACGATATTTGCTCTATTGAAATCGGAAACATGTTAAGTTATAGATACTATAGTAACTCAAGGTATTATTTGATCTTCTTTCCAACATTGACCAACATGTCCTGGAGAAAAATTTGGTCATGTATATGATGAATGGACTTGGTGACAAATTGATCAAGTCATTAACATTATTCGACACCAAACTACCTTGTGTTCATTCCTTAAAGCACGTTCTATGTTACTATTGGAAGAAAACCGACTTTCTCGATCCTATCCACAACAAGGCTCCCATCGCATTACATGTCCTCAACAACTATTTTGCACGATCGCCCGATTGATCAATCTCACAACTTTCAATTTAATGAAGGGGGCGGTCCTAATTTTTCAAGCCACTGGAATCACCATCGAAACCTTCATCGTGGTGATGACTAAAGAAGGAAACAGTGCCGCCAGTAAACTCATCAATTTTGTCGCACTAGACTAACTAGCCCACAGCGTGCCTCGCGCCTTAGTCTACACTTATCACTAGATGCAACAATTGGGATCTTCATGGCCCACTTCATCGCTACAACATTGGGTTGCCTAACCACCTTCTACTTAGGCCGTCGACAAAAGCATTGGGCTCCATCGGCATCAGAAACATGCCTAACAACTTATTGCATTTTATTCCTCCTATACAACGCCAACTTCTAGCCCATCACATATGGATTAGCCCACATCGCTTCTACGTGTGTTTCAAGCGATAAGCCTTCAGGAACTAACCAACTCAGATGGTTTATGATACATGAGCAACAAACCATCTCTCTTCAGATACTGGTAACTTTCAAACCAATTTTAGTAAAAATGTTTTATTCATCTATCGTTGTTGGTGACGATTCACCCATATTTTCATCGACATGGGGCTTAGCATCTTACTCAGTCCCATCTTTCACTCCACCTTCACAACATACTCTTCATACCTAATAGTATCAATAACATAATTTATGTCCATAAATTCACCAATAAAAAAAATTGCTCCATTGTGTTTGACAAATCTATTTTTTTTGTGAATGACTCGGACAAAAAAAAAACTTATTCAATATGACCATATCAGAGACCTCTACCAAGTTTACTATCTCTAGTCTTCACCTCAAGCTTTTCTATTTCAAGCCTCGTGGCGTGTCCCTAGAGAATCTAACATCACTATGCCACATCATGTTTGTCGTCAAGTGAAATCTTTATAAGAATTCAAGCAAACCCATCGTTCCTGGTCCAACACTTTGTCAGTAATGTCTTATACCTTGGGTTTCAACACAGTAAAATTGACTATTCTCTTTTTATTTTTAGACAGAGACACAATCTAGCGTACCTACTTCTATAGGTGTACGACATCGTCCTCGCGACATCCACTATGGCTCTACTGTAATATATTTTTCCGCTCTCGATCATAAAGTTAGCCATGTTTGACTTAATACGTTGAATTGTTTTCTCCAAGGGTTAGTTCCCCATATCAGGATCGAGGTGCAATCACATCAGCCCAATACCTATGAGGAAGCTAAATATTTAGCCTTCAGTCTCAAGGAACCGATGACCTAAAACTCAAGAAGGAGTAAGAAGAAGTCCAAAGAGCTTAAGAACAAGTGGGACGGAATCGCCAAGGGAAAATCTAGACATCCCTTGTGGAAGGAAAGAGAGGAAAGGAAGCCTTGTGAGAAATCATCCACTCCACCAAGGGGATACTTGGGAAGACTCTCCTTGTGTAGTAATTGTGGAATTGATCATCATCTGGGCAAATGTGATGAGTCTAGGTGTAACAACTGCGGAAGACCAGGACACATCACAAACGTTTGTAGGAGTCAACCAGGCCAATAAAAGGGAATATTGGATGTTAGAATAAGAGGTTTAGGAAAAGTCTCATAGGAGTGATTATGTAATGTTTAACAAGGGAATTGGAAACCCTTGAAGTTGTACTTGTTATTTATATAAATAAGAAGATCTACTTTTGAGTACAGGTAGTAATAGACAAATAATCATAGAAATCCTTCCAGAAATCCACACCAATATTAAGATAAAATATTTAGGTTTCATATTGGTGTAGAATAAGGATGTAATCAAATAAGATTTAAAAAGACAGATTAGATTCTAATGATAAAGTTGAAGAATTAGAAGTAGGAAACTAACAAGGAAATTTAGTTGTCCCAATAAATAGGAAAATGAATCGATTCCTGATTAAGAAACCAATCTCCCCTAATAAGATTACAATAAGGTCCGCATTTCGGAACAAAATTCCTAAAACAGGGGAGAATGTGACAATTGAGAAATTTCCGCCACCGATCGATACTAGAGATTAACATCAACAAGTGATGATAATAGAGTTTTCATATTTTAGGAAAAATATGATCGGTTAGATAATAATAAAAGGGTCAAAAACATGTGACCAAAAAGTTATATCACTTTTAATAATGGTTAGGGGTCGTTTGATAGTTACTAACTAGGTTAGAG